CACGGAACAGGTGGCCGGAGATGGTGTTTGTAGCGTTCTCGTAAAAACCACAAGTCCTTCTGGATCTTCTGGCACCCTCAAAAGTGCGAAATGTTGCGAAGCAACTACGGGCTTCCCTCCTGCAGAGAAGTGTGGGCTGCGTGTGGGCCGCCTAAGTACTTGCTTAAATAATGCGCCGCACATGTCCTGATAAGCTCGTTCAAGAGTGATTGCATCAAACATGCCTCCTTCGCTCAAGCGACCGGGTGAAAACATTTGCTCTGTCGAAGCTGTGTGTAATTGTGCGTGCTCGAGCTGTGACCAACACTGTGTCATCAGCCTAGCTCATAGCTCGAGGTGCCTTGTCGACAGACAACGTGAACCTCAGGGGTTCTGATTTTGAGGGCTGGTGCTTCACCTTGAAAATCGAATCTTGCGTGCAGTGCCGTACCCAGTTGCTGCCACGGTTTACATTTAGAAATCTGATGGTGAATCCTGGGTGAATCTGTCTTTATTTGCGATTTCGCGTCAAATTGCCCACGGACACGAGCAAAACAGATGTGAATGTTTTCGCAGCAGAGGGATCCAGAAACTTATGCAATCACGCACAGCGACGCCCGGCTGGGCCTCAGTGCCAGGCAGGGTGCGGTCTTCCGTCTCCGGAAACGGGGCGGAACGGCCTCCTGACAGACCTTTGCGATAGCGCGCTCAATTGGACCGGCACGGGAGGCGAGTACCCCAGGCGTGGCACAAGCGGTGCGGTGGTCGCCGTACGCATCCAGTGCTCCGCGACAAGAGCAGGTGCGCGGGCCACGCGGGAAGGGGGGAGGAGGACGGAGGGATGGCGACGTCCTCGGTTGTGGTTGTGCTAAACAAGACTGTGAGGGCCCCCGCACCGGAAGTCGCACACGCAGCCCTGTCGCCGAGAGGGTCAAGGCGGCCGCGGCAGGCGCAGGTGCGCGGCGCCATTGGCAGCGGTAAGCGGAGCCGTCGTAGCAGCAAGACCCGGAACCTCGGCTGAGGTTGGGCAGAGTGTGAAGGCGCGCCAGCGTGTGGCCCGGCCTGCGACAGCAGCAGCGCTCGAGATGCGGCATCGATGTGAGAAAGACGCAAATCAAGCGCGATGCTGCCAGCCTCGCCAAAACTCCCCAAACTCGAGTTCGTCCTGCTCGGGCCGCGCCCGCAGCAGCGCGTCCCACGCGGGATCCATTTCGCCGAAACAGCCTGCGAGCTTAGCAACCTGTTGGCAACTCGTTCCAATCATTCGTCGCAGGTTCTTCGACAAATCCCGTCGCGCATGGCGTGTGACACTGCGCGGAAGGCCAAAGGCGACGAGGTGGAGCGTGGAAGCCCCAACATAGAGGCAGCGTCGCAGCTCGGCCTGCTTGCTGCAAAATCGCGTCATAACGTGCCAAGACTGTACAGTCCCATCCAAGCCGAGTCGGCAAATTTCAGTCAAGTGTGGCATAGAACACGGTAAGTCTCCGCCAGAAGGATGCGACGGATGCATCGCGTTTCTCCCCAGTCGCGTCTCTTCGCGTCACAGATGCGATCCGACCTGAACCACAGAGCCCACGAAGCCCAGGAAGCCTGAAGACTCAAGATCAGGGACGTGCTCCTGCCTACAGCTTGGGTGCTTAAGTCTTCCCTCCTCCCCGAACCGTGAGCTCCAAAAGTGTCGTGGCACGTGACTGGGGCAGGGGCTGTCGGTGCGCGCCTTCAAAGGTAGCCTTGAACCTGGCGGGAGGGATTTCAGCTGATGATGCCATGGCCTTCATGTTGACAAGCTCCCCAACTCCTAAACCTCCCAACCCGAAACCCCAAAGCCTCAACCCCGAGCCCCAGACCTCTCTCACGCCTATCTACCCCTCGCCCTGCAGGGTCCCACCAAGGAGGCCAAAGAACCTACCGAGAACCTTCAGAAACCTCGAAGCCCCAAGACTCCCTAAACCCGCCTGGGTCCAGGGTTCAGGGTTTAGGGTTGAGGGTTGATGAGGGTTTAGGGTTTAGGGTTTAGGGTTTAGGGTTTAGGGTTTTAGGGTTTAGGGTTTTAGGGTTTAGGGTTGCTGAATGTTGCCGAGGCCCCGGGCAAGTTGGGCGTGGGGCGCATCAGGGCACGGCCGGCTTTGATGGTCTGGGCCTCGAAAAGGCTCTTCGGAACGTTCTATCACTGTAAGACGGTTAAGGTTTAGGGTTATAGGGTTTAGGGTTTGGGGTTTGGGGTTTGGGGTTACGGGTCACTACAATCAAGGGCTCCATAAGTTCGATAAGGGTTACTATAAGGTGCACTATGAGGGAGGGTTGCTATAAGGGTTTAGGGTTTTGTGTCAGTTTTGTGTACTCTATCAGGGTACTATAGAGGTTCGACAAGAACTTTCTATCGAGGTCGCTGTACGGGCTGCTAGAAGCGATCTTTTTAAGGAGCTACTGTACCACCGCACGGGTACCACAGAGATACTACAAAGCTTCAGGGTGCCCTAAGCCTAAACCTTACAGTAGATCTTTTGGTATCTAAACACTAAACTCCAGAACCCCGGCTCCTGGGGCTTCGCGCAGCAAGCTCTTCATACACAGGTGGCGGAGGAACCGCTGGGGGCCTCAGCCATGGACGTCCCTTCGGAACCCTCCCTTTCTTTCGGGATTCAGGATTTGGGCTGGACGCTCCAG